GTCCAGGCCCCAGCTCCTCCTGCCTCAGACCCAGGAGTCCAGACCCACCCCTCTAACACCCCGGGCCCTATCCTCCCTCAGACCCAGGAGTCCAGGCCCCAGCTCCTCCTCCCTCAGACCCAGGAGTCCAGCCCCCAGCCCCTCCTCCCTCACACCCAGGAGTCTAGGTCGCCCCCTCCTTGGGGCCCCACCCCACTGGGCCTCTTCTCTCTGTTCCTTAGGCCGCACCAGGATGTCGGACACCGAGGAGCAGGAATATGAGGAGTGAGTGCCGCACTGGGAGGGGTTGGGGCGTGCAACGGTGGAGAGGCTCTCCCACCCCAGGTCTAACTCTCCCCTCCCTCTTTCCCCACACCCGTCCGCAGGGAGCAGCCAGAAGGTGAGTAGGGAGTGGGCCGGCCCCTTGGGATGGAGACACCCCCAGGAACTCTTGGGACGGGAGGCGAGGCTCGTGGCACCCTGGCGGGGAAGGGGCAGCTCAGCCCTCGGGCCCTCGCCCGCCCTCTCCGGGTCTGGAGCGTCTCCCCGTGCCATCCCTGCACCGCCAGGGGGCACATGCCCATCGCAGCCGAGGCCAGAGGGACCCCGGTCCTGCAGAGGTTGGAACCCTGGTCTCTGGCCACTCCCCCCACCCCTGCCCGAGCTCCTAACGCCTTCTCTTCTGTGCCCCCATCTCCAGAGGAGGCTGCGGAGGAGGAGGAAGGTGAGGTCCCGGACTGCGCAGGTCTGGAGCTGGGGGCGGGGGGCTGGGGGCTGGGGGCTGGGGGCTGGGGGCGGGACGGGGCTCCCGAAGGCCTCGGCTCCAGGTCCTCTAACAGCCTCTCCCGTCTCTCCCTCTCTCCCCCGCCGCGCCCGGGCGTGGCCGCTCCCCCCTCGCTCCCCACACCCTCGCTGCTCCTCCCGCCCCTCCCCAGCCCCCGAAGAGCCGGAGCCGGTGGCAGAGCCAGGTAACCGCGGCTGCTTCGCTTCCCGAGACCGATGTCGGGGGCCCGGGGGGACCCCCGATATCCTCGGGCCCCAACCTCCACGACCACCCTTCCCTCCCTCCGCCCCCATAACCCGCCCCCAGGCCCGGTCCTTTAAGCCTCTGAGAGCTCCTGCGCCCTCTCGGGGCCGGGAAGGGAAATGGCCCTGCCGTGGCTTTAACCCTTTCCCTTCCTTCTTAAAGGGACCGACACCCAAGCCTTCTTCCCCAGTCTGGAGGAATCTTTATAGAAGGGTTGGATGTTTGCGGAGAAGCACCACCCCGTCACCCTCATCTTCGCCTCCAACCTTGTCTGTTATTTTCTCCCCCATATACATTCAAAGGTTGGGGCTTGGAATTTAGGATTGCAGAGGAGGCTAGCCCTGGGAGTCAGGGTCTCCAAGGTGGGGTTGGAGGGCGAGCTGGGGAGAGAGCTCTGGGGTTACTGAATAAAGACAGAGGTTGGCCCTCCCCGCACTGCTGGGTCTTAGTGGAGGAGGGCAGTTGCTCTGGGCATATAAATAGAGAAGGGTCTGGGGGTTTGCACTCCTGGGAGTGCAGACAGCGGCGGTGGGGGGTCCCCACACCAGTTCTGAATGTATATCTGATGCGTGTGACCCTCTTCCTCCTTTATAGCCACCCCGACTTTCCTTCCCTCTTTTCTTCTCCCCATCCCCCTCCTCCAGAACTGGACTCCGGGGTCCTTCCCTGGGCTCCTGGGGGCCGAGGCTTGGGGGGGTCCCTCCCCAGGGTGTATCAGGCCTAGTCCCTCCTCTAAACTCTTGCTAATTATCTCTTTGTATCCCCCACCACCAACAGAAGAGGAGCGCCCCAAACCAAGGTGAGATCCTACAGGGTGGGGGGCCCCAACCATACATCTTCCTAAGTATTCTCTCTATCCCCAGAGACAGGGTGTGAGAAAGGCAGAGATGGAGGGAGGAAATTGAAACAGCAGTCAACATTTCTCCCCCTCCTCCCTCCCCTTCCTCCCCCTTCCCCTCTCCCTCCACCTCCTCTCCCTCCTTCCTCCTCCTCCTCTTCATCTTTTTCCCTTTCCCCTTCCCCTTCGTCTTCTCCTCCTTCATCATCGTCATAGTCCCCACTCTATTACCCAGACTGGAGTGCAGTGACCCAATCCTGGCTCACTGCCTGGACATTTGGGTTCAAGCAATCCTCCCATCTCAGCCTCCCGAGTAGCTGGGACCACAGGCATGTGCCACCACACCTGGCTATTTTTTTTTTTTTTTCCCTTTTTGTAGAGCTGAGGTCTTGCTATGTTGCTCAGTTTGGTCTCGAACTCCTATCCTCAAGCAATTCTCCCACCTCAGCCCCCCAGAGTGCTGGGATTACAGGCACAAGCCTCCAAGGCCAGCCAGTCTGTTTCCTTCTTTCCACCCAATGGTCCCTCTTCCCCTCCAGCCTTTACCATCACCCCAGCCTCCTCTCTGGCCTCCCTGCCTCCAGCTTGTGGCTCATCCTCCTCCATGACTCCAGAGAGACCTTTCTAACACCAGAGCTAACCCCGCCCCTCCTCTGCTCAGAATCTTTCCTCAACTCCCCACTACTGTTAAGACAAGTCAAAGCAACTAGCCTGCATTCAAAGCCTTCCCCATCTGGCTCCAGCCGACCTCTCTAGCATCTCCCTTCCCCACTGACAGACACACAGCATTTCATGGGAGTCCAAGGCAAAGGGACAGGATTTGGAGATTGTTGGGCAAGGGGAGGGAAGCAATGGGGGCGACCCTGAAGGGTCTCTGGGCTGGGGAACAAAGTGGACAGTGGGGCTGCCATCTCCTTCTCGGAGATGGTGAGCTCCATCAGGACGTCGTGTGTGGGAAGGTGGGAAAAGTTCAGGAGATACCTGTTAACTTGAGTCTGGGGCTTAGGAGAGAGTCTGGACCAGAGACACTTGGCGAGTCCTCAGCAGTTGATGATACCAGAAGTCATTGGAATGAATGGCATTGATGATGAGAAAAGGGAACAGGAAGGCTCCCTGGCAGCTCATGGGGGTGTGGGGGGCCAGGAGACAGGCATGGAACAGCCCCAGGGGTGGGAGGCAAGCCAGTATTTATTCCTGTAAAATACGGTAAGCCATATTGTCTTCTCACACATGACGCCCCAAAGGAGCTCATCAACTTTTCCAAGATAGAGACGGCAGCCCCGCTGTGCACTTGGCTGCCTGGCTGGGGATTGTCCTTACCTCCTCCCTCCCCTTGCCCAGCGACCCCTAAGTCCTGTCCCCTTCATCCTGGAATCGCTCTTCGTGGTCTCAGAAACCCAGAAAAGAGAATTCTAAGGAAGTGGCAGGAAATCAGAGCAGGCTGAGGGCTGAGCCTCAGAGCAGCACCCACCAATAGAATAGATGGCAAGACACACACATCACTTACAATTTCTTACTAAAGGCCGGGCGCGGTGGCTCAAGCCTGTAGTCCCAGCACTCTGGGAGGCTGAGGCGGGAGGATCACTTGAACTCAGAAGTTCAAGACCACCTTGGACAACATAGTGAAGCACTATCTATCTGTCTATCTATCTATATTTTTTTTGAGATGGAGTCTCCCTCTGTCACCCAGGCTGGAGTGTGGTGGTACGATGTCGGTTCACTGCAACCTCCACCTCCCGGGTTCAAGCGATTCTCCTGCCTCAGCCTCCCAAGTAGCAGGGATTACAGGCATGCACCACCATGCCCAGCTAATTTTTTTTTTTTTTTTTTAATTTTTAGTAGAGATGGGGTTTCACCATGATGGCCAAGCTGGTTTTGAACTCCTGATCTCAAGTGATTCGCCCACCTCGGCTTCCCAAAGTGCTAGGATTACAGGCCTGAGCTACCGCGCCCGGCCTGTGAAACACCATCTCTACAAAAAATTTACAAATGGCTGGGCACGGGGGCTCACACCTGTAATCCCAGCACACTGGGAGGCTGAGACAGGCAGATCGCCTGAGGTCAGGAATTCAAGACCAGGCTGGCCAGCATGGTGAAACCCCATCTCTACTAAAAATACAAAAATTACCCAGGTGTGGTGGCAGGCGCCTGTAATCCCAACTACTCGTGAAGCTGAGGCAGGAGAATTGCTTGAACCTGGGAGGCGGAGGTTGTGGTGGGCAGAGATGGCGCCACTGCACTCCAGCCTGGGAGACAGAGGAAGACTCTGTACTCATGCTAATAAAAAAAAAAAAAAAAAAATCTTACTAGGCATATTTTTAAGGTACAGCAACAACATAGGAAAATTTAATTTTCATAGCACAGTTTTAAAAATCTGTTACATAAATTTTAATCATTTCAACATGTAATCAGCATAAAACATGATTCTGTGCGTTTCACTGACAGCCTGCCTCAGCTGGGGCCCTCCACGTTCAAGGGGCTGGCGGCTACCTCACCAGACTGTGCATCCCGGAGGTGAGAGGTGGCTCAGGGAGGTCGGGTCACTCATGGTCTCTCTGTTTCTGTCCACCCAGCCGCCCCGTGGTGCCTCCTTTGATCCCGCCAAAGATCCCAGAAGGGGAGCGTGTTGACTTCGATGTAAGTGTCAGAGACCCCTCTCCCCAGGCACAGTCCCTAGTCTTCAAGGGGCTTTTGTGCCAATCATGAAAAGGCGCCGGGCCGGGCGCAGTGGCTCACGCCTGTAATCCCAGCACTTTGGGAGGTTGAGGTCAGGAGTTCGAGACCAGCCTGGTCAATATGGTGAAACCCCGTCTCTACTACAAATACAAAAATTAGCTGGGCGTGGTGGCGGGCGTCTGTAATCCCAGCTACTCGGGAGGCTGAGGCAGGAAAATCACTTGAACCCGGGAGGCGGAAGTTGCGGTGAGCCGAGATTGCGCCATTTCACTGCAGCCTGGGAGAAAAGGTCCCCACTCCCCACTCCTGTCTTTGGGCAGCTCTGTCTTTGGAAGAGCTGATTAGTGTCAAACACGAGGCATTGCTGCCACCTGCTGGACACCACCTGGGAAACGGTCCAGTTCACCGTCTTGCATGGGGGAGGCGCTGGGAGGCCGCTGCCCTCTCCAGGGTCTCCCAGGACGGGCTCCCCGTGTGTCCTGCAGGACATCCACCGCAAGCGCATGGAGAAGGACCTGCTGGAGCTGCAGACCCTCATCGACGTGCATTTTGAGCAGCGGAAGAAGGAGGAAGAGGAGCTGATTGCCTTGAAAGAGCGCATTGTGAGCGAGAGTCCGGGTGCCCCCCAGCCTTCCTCTCTCCACGTGGATCCCTTGCATCTCGGGAGATGCGGATAATGGTTTTCCTTCTAGTACAGAGCTGAGCCTGAGGCTTTCGGGAATTCACCCAAGTCGGTGGCCACACTCCAGCCTGTTTATCTCCACGCTTCGCCTACTCTAGGGAGGGATGACTGGGGGTACGTCCCTGCACCCCCTTATTCTTCTCCGTTCCCCAGGAGCGGCGCCGGTCGGAGAGAGCCGAGCAACAGCGCTTCAGAACTGAGAAGGAACGCGAACGTCAGGCTAAGCTGGCGGTGGGTGCCTCCCCTGCCCTCGGAGTCCAAATGTTACTTCTTCAGCCAGATGCCCATTTTGTTGTTGTTATTATTATTATTACTATTATTATTATTTGAAACTGAGTCTAGCTGTCTCCCAGGGTGGAGTGCAGTGGTGTGATCTCAGCTCACTTCAACCTTCACCTCCCAGGTTCAAGCAATTCTCCTGCCTCATTCTCCCGAGTAGCTGGGACTACAGGTGCTCCCCATCAGGCCCAGCTAATTTTTGTATTTTTAGTAGAGACAGGGTTTCACCATGTTGGCCAGGATGGTCTCGATCTCCTGGCCTCGTGATCCACCTGCTTCAGCCTTCCGAAGTGCTGGGATTACAGGCGTGAGCCACTGTGCCCGGCCTAGTATTATTATTATTATTATTATTATTTTTTTTTTTTTTTT